AATCGGTAATCGATCTCCCACTACCTCCAGAGTCGATGAATCAGTATGTTCATTTGACCTGCTAGTAGAACCGGAATTTAGGGCTAGAACCATCTGATTGGCCACTTTACCTGACCTTGAGTTGAACTCTAGGTGATGGGTCGATTCAAGCAACCCTGACATGCGCATTAGTGAGGGGGATTGTCATAAATGTCATGCATTTGACATAATCAGTAGTGTTTGAACCAATTTGAAAATATGACGGTTCGACAAAAGATCTCTACCAACATGCGCGAATTTCAGCCCGTTCAGGAATACTTTTATTACCAGTGAACACGTCTCGCTTTTGACAGGATGTGTCACCCACCAAATTCTGTTTCAGTCAGATTTGACTAGAGGTAGTTACGTAGTCTGTAACTAGAGGACATCATGGTTAGGCGTGTGTTTCCACTTTGCGCTTGGATGTCTTTTGTTAATAACTTTGTGCCTGAGCTCAACTGTCCGCTGTCTCACTTGTGGTTGGCTCAGTAGATATCGCGTACAGAATTCTCCCGTATGGCAATGCTCCCCACTGCTTATGCGGAAGTCTGTAGTGGGCTGTGGTTTTTCTCTAGAACTCGTGTTCACGTGTTCCAGGTTCTGGCGATCAACCGTGCCGAGGGCCGCAAATTCATTCGCGTGAAGCTCGACTTTCCAGCTCGTCTCATCTCGCGCATCCGTGGTGTCATCTCCGAGAGCTTCCTCCACGGCGTCCACCCCACTCACCACAATCTCTTTTGGGCCGCTTTCGACGACGGCTGGAAACGCTTGATGAAACCCTACCTCACGAGGAAGTTAAGGTGTGCTCGCGGGCACGTGAGTGGACCATGTCCATTCCTCACCTTCACGTGCTGCTTTGCCTCCGCTCAACATTCAGTTGCTTCTTTTGCATTCTGAAGGTCGAACATCACCTCCAGGGCACACGACCTCTCTCTCGCCGTCTTCTCCGATAATTTGCGTCGCCTTCTAATGACCGCACCCCTTCGCAACGCCCCCCTCACCAGCGCAGGCGACATCAACGGCATCCACCACCAGCAATCGTCGACAGGTCCACATTTCAGTCGCGTGGATCCCCATTACAACGTGGTCTCGTCCAGTCTTGATGCGCCCGGTGATCGACTGTCCGTGGTTGGCCTTGACCCTGGCTGGCGCCACGGCACCAAGTGGGCTGCATGTGACCCTCTGGGGTGCGTGCTCGCCTCTGGAGTCATCCACGTGACCATGTCCGGTAGTCAGCTGAAAGCCGACGCTGGTGTAGCCGCCCTCGCAAACGCAATGCGCACTCATGGGTGTGTCAGCTCACTTGTGTCTATTTAGCTTCGGACGCAAGGGGTCAAAACACCAAACGACAAGTCTATGTGAAATTCCCAAACACGCGACTCGGACTAACAAGGTTTTTTTTAATTTTGAAAGTCGAATATCAACTCGACGATTTAACTACTTGAGCGAAATCACTGGGTACAGTGTAGTCCCCACCCCACAAACCAGAAGCACACTGAATGGCAGGGAAGAGCTTGTACCTCTCTTCTATACAATCGATCGTGCCTTTACGGGTTTACGCGAGGTGTCCTCTTGAATGCCCGGATCCGACGACGGTCGAATCGCGCCAGCCGGTTGAAGGGGTGGAAGTGACGAGGGAAAAGTATTCGACGTCGAAAGCGGCGTCTCAACGACCGCAGCGTTGTTTGTGTCGGCGCATGCAGACGGCCCCAGGCGTAGTTTATCTTGCAGCAAGTGCATGAAGTGCGACTGTTCGTGGAGAGCCCTGTTGGCCTCGGCCAACTCCTGCACGATGACCGGATTGGGTCGATGGCCAGTGATCTTTTCGAGGATCTCGCGTGCCCGCTTGCCCTGCTTCCTATTGATGCCCATCGTGGCCTCAAGGTCACGGATCCGGTTTCTGCTGTTCCTCAGCTCAATGCGCATCTTATTGATCTCCTCAATCAGTGACATGTTCTCCTGTGAACAGATCAATAAAATCAATAAGTCTCATCTTCCTACTATAGAAAGGCAGCAGTGATTCACAGGGGTGTCATACAAATCTGACCCTAACACATCGAAATAACATTGGATCTAATCAGCTAGCTTTAATTGGATGGCCAATTGCACGATTGTGGTTAGACCTAGGGGAATAAGTTGTTAAAATTAACCCAAAATATGCTAAGGCGTTACGCTATGGTGAATTTGGAGTCGGTGGGTGGCGATATTTATCGTCGACCGCCTGACCTTTGGGAAATATGCAACACATCACTGCGCCAGACCTCACACCGTGCTGATTCGCCCTCGCGTTATAGCCAAAGCTGACCTTGACACACTGCAACACTATTGGCGCAATCCAGCAAGCTGATTTTACGTCCTTAGCGTCGACAAATCTTTGGTTAGCAGTTAAAACATTACGTTTTTATCTTTTTCAGACGTTTAAGTGAGGTGTTTGTGCACTGATTATTTTTGCAGTGATTTTGAACAGAAAAATCACATCACTAGGCGCAAGGTTGTCATGGAAGCGACTAGTAGGTCAGAACGGCAGATAATATCTTTCGTTTCGACAGCCAATCAGGTATTTGAGCCAATCACAACCCAACACACAACGCCAGTCACTTTTCTAAAATTGAAAAAGAAGCAGAAATGACATGTACATGCAGCGTTTAATAATAACTCGTATTTTTGTTTATTTTTTTTCAAAAAGTGTGGAAAAAATATCGAAATTGTTGAAAAAGCCAAGTTGACACGTCGAAATATTGGGACTCAACAAAACTTATGGCTAGTTTTTCAAACTAATAATTTAAAACCGTCGGCAAAGCATATAATTTCATTTCTGTACATCAACTCTTATGGAAAGGCACTAATCCCATCACGATTTTGATTTTCCTGAAATTGGAACACCATAAAATGTATCTCGCCTGGTGTAGATTTAGTGTCACAACTATTGTACACATTTATGTCATGTTATAGGTGCCTTGATGCACCTATCGGCTGTCAAGGTCGCTTAGGTAAAACATCATTGGATGCAACACGAGCGTGACGTGTCCTATTGATTGTGACTCCGGGCGCTATTCTGATTGGCGTTTTGCCCAGTAGACGTCTCTAAATCCCTGAAATTTCACAACCGCCAGGCCAATTTTTGGCATCTCCACATGGAATCCAACCTGAGTACTTACGTGCATAATGCGAATGTACTCAGCTCGATGGATCTCGGCGTCTTTTGCCAGTTTCTGTCGAACCCCGGCCAATGTGTGCTCGAGGTGTTCCCGTTGCCGAGCGAATTCACGCTGCATCTCCTCATTTGGCGTGGCCTCTGAAACCTTCGCAAGAAACCAAATTAAATCATGAAAACCGCTGTGAGCAACTCAAGGAATTGCACTATCAGCAATTTGAAATTTTGATCACGATCACGTAACACTGATTGGGTAACGCTCATTACGAATCGCGTGTGGGGAAAATCGATACGATAGACAAATGATGCATCGATTGCACAAAAAGTTAATTTCCGAAAAAACCAGGGGCAATATTTCTTTGTTTTCAAGTTTACCACCTCCAAGTCTGTTTGTGAGTGAGTTTTTGGCCTGTAAACGCATTTTGGCTGGTAGAAAAATTTAAAACGGTCAAATTTTGCGTGTTTTGCATGTTGGCGTTGTAAAGACTGCGTTCACACTCGACTGCAGATAGAGTGGTGTTTTCCCTTGAGAGGTTGCACCACGCTTTCCCTCAAGGGGTTTTGGCGTGTCTTCGGTTGAGCACCACCCCCTCTCCCATACCACTCCCCACACTACGCCTTTAGTCTAACCACAGAAACGGCGGCAACGTCCGTTAATGAATATTCACTAGCTGCTCCGCTGACGTTGTTAAATGAGCCACGTAATTAGTACGGAAGATGAGGGACACAAACGATATCTCTTTCTTCCGTGCGAGGTTAATTCAAGTCATTTTGGCGGTTGCAATATAATTCCACCACACGCACACATTTTAATATGAAAATTACTCGTCACTGATTGGCCAATAAATCGATCCCCGAATTGATTTGTGATATTTCCAAGGTCAAATTACTATATGATGATAACTGGGTCATAAAATCGATAAAATCGAATAAATGTGGCATCATCGTGAAAACACCCAACACCCAGCATGACTGGGGTTTGTGATAAATTTAATAAACATTTCATTCGCAAACCAATTATACTCGCGTTCACTGATTTGCTACTAAATTAACCAATCAAAGCACTGCCTTGATGTGTCATTAAACCAATAGGGATTGAACATTTTTTTGACATTTTATGGTGCTTCTAATTTGTCAACAAATGAAATTGTTAACTTTTCTTCAGAACAGAAGAAAAAAGTTGAGAACACCAACAAACACCAATGATACGCTCACCTCGCCAACGTGCAACGGTTGCTAGAACGCAAAACAGAACAATTTTTGATTAAAATGTTGAAACATTTTGGTGGGGAGATAATGTGCGTGCAGCGGGAATCGCACGCAATGTCTGGGGATTCATGTAGGCCTCATTGTTTCGCCTTAATTTATTTGTTAAATCAAGGAAAAAAAGAGGGGTGTCAATGAAAATTACAAAAAAACAATGATTTTTTTGCAATTCCCAAACCGTTGTTTAAATCAAGTTAACATCCGTTTCAAGGTATTTAATGTTCCCATTACTAGTGTGTACTTCGCCGTTTAAAACCACGTTTTTGCTGTTTTTTTTTTCGTATTTCGAAGACACATAGTACTCGTAACTAATGTTAGTACTGCGTGCTGCGTCCTAGCACACCAGAATTGAGATTCAACCGTTGTTATAGGAATTTAATCAATTTTTTCATTCATTTTAATACGAGATATGACTCTCTAGTAAAAAACTAACTTTTTGAAAATATTATCAGACCTACGTTAAAATTAGTGTGCAAGTGAATGGTCGTGACTATAATCTGGTGGGCTTTGCAAAAGCAAATGCCAAACTGATAATTGTTTTGTTTAAATAAGATGATTAGTTTGAAATGCACTTCAGTTTTTTGTTGTTTGAACGAAACTGCCGCCTTCTTCGTAACTTCACTTAAACAATTAAGGCAGAAACGTAAAATGCGTAATATGCCTTTTCTAAGTACACAATATTTCGTTCGGAATACTGCCTACGAATTGGCGGGGAAATTTTGAAATGGTACAACAATATTTGCAAAAAAATAAGATGACGGCATTTATTCTGACATTTACCACCACATGTGGCATTCCTTAAGAATTCGGTTTAGATCAGTTTAAAATTCAGCTAATCTAGGTTTGTAGGTACCGCCAACGCAAGTAATAGCCAATAGGATTTAAGCAAACGATGATTCATTGCGGGTAAAAGCACGATATAAACCCCCACCGTACCAGGTCGTTCTGGATGTGTTTCTGGTAGAGTTCTAGAATGCCCTCTTTCAGGGCCTTGGGGTCTTGAATTTTGGCCGTCACATTGTAGAGGTCAATGCGGAAACGTCGTACAATCGCGTGGATGTTCCGGTTGATCTGACGCTCCGTTTTCAGTTCACCAACAGTCGCCTTGAGCTTCTCCTTCAAATCCACCATGTTCAAGTCCAGCGCACCGTTCTGCAAGTTGAAACGCTCCAATTCTCCCTCCATCTGCAAGTTGGACAAGAACCGCAGGATTAGCCAATCAGAAAAGGGGAGTTCTTTAGGAGATCGGGTGGTTTAAATGACCTCCTGAATTTGTTCCTTGTAGTTTTTAATGTCGTTTTCTCGGGGTTCAATCTGCTTCTTGAGTTCGGTTATCTTGTAGGTGAGCACAAATTTGTACTTTTCAAGCTCCTGGTTCTTTCTCTTCAAATCATATATCCGCTTCTCCTGCAAAGCACACAAGAAAACGGCGTAAGACAACGGAAAACAAGCAGACTACTTTTTACAAATGAGTACTAATCACCTTGTCCTGAATGGTCTCGTCGCGCTCTTGAATCTCCTTCTTCAAACCCTGAATGTCCTTCTCCTGGCCCCGGATGACATTGTTGAGTTTTTGGGTCTCTCCGTGCGACTTCCTGAGCTCCTCCATGTTCTCTTCGATTTCCTTCTGCAGACTGGCAAACTTCTTCTTCATGATGCCCGATTCTCCACGAAGACGGGCATTCGCGTCTCGCTCGTCTCGCAGTCGTCGTTCGTACTGCGTTTTGAGGTCCAGTATCTCGCGATCGGCATCCTCCTCAATGAGCCGCTTCGTGACCTCGTGTTCCACAACCTGCTCGCGATTCTCCTTCTTCAACGACTCCATCATCTGCGTCTTCTCGTTGAGCTTATTCTCAAAGAAGACAGTCAACTCCTCGAGGATCTTCTCCTTGGCCGAGTTCATTTCACTGATCTGGCTCTCGTAGGACTCTTGCATCTTCTGAGCCTTCTCCTGGAGCTCCGTGTTCTTCTCCACCTCGATGTTCAGCTGGTGGCTCGACGTGACTTCGAGGTCTTTGAGCTCACGCGTGTGCAACTCCATGATCTCCTGCATCTCTTCGCTGTGTCTGGCCGCCTCACGTTCCTTCTCAGTTCGCAGTGTCTGATTCTTCAGGCGAAGCGCTTCCATTTCTTTAACGAACTTCTCCGTCAGTTCCTTGATCCGTTCGCTGTAGTTCATATCCTTCAACCGAAGCTGGTACTCGTTCTCCATCTTCAACTCATCCACCCTTGTTCTCAGCTCTGACATGATGAGGTTCTGAACAAAAAACACAAAACAGATTTGGATGTCATCGATTTACGGCGGATTCAAGACCACTTTCAGGTCCTGGGAGAACGTGAGAACAATTCACACTCAGCTGAAAAAACGTCTAAGTGTCTGAAGGTAATGATTTTTAAAGGAACTGAACAGAGACCTGGCATGTTTACCTTCTCTTCCAGATCCGATCGAGTGATCAAGACTTCCTCAGCCCACGGAACATCTCGTTCTATTTTAACACTTCGTCCATCACGTTCCTGGATGATCCACACCATGATGGAGCCATCGTCCGACGCGGTGACAAGGAACTCGTCATTGAGGGTGATTTGCATCTTCACAATTGGCCCAAAATGTCCAACGTAGTCTTCCCAGACGTTGTGGTTCGAGAAGGGGAAACGGTAGGACCGTACGTGACCCTCCTGACCACCGCAAAATAGCATATGACCACTTCGCGAGAGAGCAATCGAAGTTTGCAACATGTCGCCTGAATCAACCTCAAGTGTGATCTGAACAAATGGAAATATGTAACATTACACTACTTATTCATTTGAAAGTAGCAAAGGTTTTATTAATAGCATGGAAGTCTTACTAACCGCTGATTCGGCAATTTCCTTCACTTTTCTATCCGAACCGACTGCGTAAATTGTCTTAGCATCCTCTGTGCACGTGACGCAGTTGTAGCTGCAGGATTTAAGCACATTCTCGTTTATTCGCCTGCCTGAAAAGTCAAACCTCGAATTCACCAATCAAATTTGTTCTCGAGACACACAAAGTTTGGCGATTTCCTACCGGTATAGGGGTCCCACTCGTAGACAGCCCCGTCCATTCCACAAGATATCAACTTGTTGTCGTCTGCGCTCCACAGCAAACACCGAATTTTGCCGTTGTGGGCTTTCAGACTGTTCACGCAGAGGAAACTCGTGGTGGAGTAGAGTTGGATGTTGTTGCCTTGAACCGCAGCAAACAGATGACCACCGTTGCTGAAAGCGCACTGCATAAGGATCAAGATAATTTAAATGTCTCACGTCGTCTGCCTTCTTGGAACCTCGACAGACTAGCGTCGACCTACCTCCTTGCACCCTCGAATGGGGAATTCCTTGACTGGACGGATTTCGTCAATAAGGAGGTTCATCAGACGCAGCTTGTCGCTGAAGCCAACCAGAATGAAGTGGCCAAGTGGATGCAGAGAGATGCTATAGGCTTCTTCCGCGAACTCCTTGTAGAGCTCAAGGTTGCTGAACGACACAGTTTTTCAGTGGAACAGGTAGTTTGACAGAAACATCCGCTGTGACAAAATGAACTCACTTTAACTCAAAGTTCCAGATACGAATGGTGCGATCAGTGGCGCAGGTAGCTATAAGTGGCTTTCGAGAGCAGATATCCAGTCCTATGATTTGACCTTCGTGAAACGACTGTGACATTAGCCGAAAGTAGTCTATTTTCACGTCGGAATTTTCGCTCTGTTTGTTTTCGTCCTGTTGATCGGCTGTTTTGGCTTTTGAAGGCTTTTCACTCAAAGTTTTAATGTCTTTTTTGTTTGAAATTCCCAAATCAGGCGCTGTGAGTGAATAAACATAGAGTTGATGGGAGGCAGTACTCGCTACCAGTGTCTCTTCGGATGGATTAATCTACAAAACAAATGCAAGTTTGAAAAAAAAACGAAAATGACGTTGTTAACGCTATTTGAAAACTTACGCTAAGTTGTGTGATGAGTTGATTGCTCGAAGTTCCCGTGTCAGTGCTTATATTTGGGTCATTTGGGATGCGAATCTCCTTAACTCTTCTGTAGTACGACATTTCTCCTGAGTTAGTGCTACCGGGTTTTATGCGTCGAGACTGTTTCATGGAATCCTTTTTGTCAATATCAGAGTTGTATTTAAAACAGTGGACAAGCCCTGGTCCACAAGCTACGTAGACAAAATTTTGTGTGCAAGTGATTGCAGACGTGCATTCTGTTGTTACAGCCGGATATTCACTTGAAACCGAGCTTCTAAAATAAGCAGATAGCATCCACGGATACTTTGATGCGCATGCAATTTAACAGTGAATGAAGGCAAAGCAAAATTATGAAGATGTAGAGATTATCTGCTAATCTTACTCCTTATCATCCATTTGCTCCGCGTCTTGGGGTAGGTCAAGATTTATTATATATTCCTCGAGGGGTTCCCCATTGTGAATCAGAATCCACGAGCCTTTTGCTGTTCCCACTGCGATTCGCTCATCAGTCACCCAGGTATGGCAGAGGAAGTTTTGGGGTTCAACTTTGAAAAGACCAAAAGGTTTTATTGTTCCTTCATTATATTTATATGTTCTGTATGTATCTTTGCCAGTTACACATATTTGCGTACTGTCGTTCGGACTGACAGATATCTCATTAAAGAATTCAGTTATACACTATTTTTGTACCTACCTGATAGATGGGGTTGCCTTGAGATGTACGAACCGTTGATAACCGCTTAGGTTTTTCCCAGTTCCAATAAATGAGAGCCCAATCGGGCTCACCGCCTTGTGCAACAAGGTAATGCGAGTCCGGCGAAAATGACACACTTTTGAATTCGTCGGAGTTAATCCCAGTGCCACGAAGAACCTTTTTCCTTCGCAACGAGGCTAGATCATATATCACAATACACGGACCATCGTCAGTTTTTTCAGCTAGAGCAATATAACGCCTGTTTGGACTGATGGCCATTGCTGTCATTCCATTACTTTTTTCTAAGCCTGGAATAAACTTCTGACTTTTGCGCTCCAAATTATACAATATTAAATTGGAACCGCATGGATAAATTACAGTTTGTTCATCCTTAAACAAAACCGAGTTTGCTACGCCTGTTCTAAACCCAAAAGCACGGGTGAGCTGAACAATTCCTGACGCCATCTAGCATAGAACAGCTAATCAAATTCTGTAGCAATTTAAGCCACCCTAGAACGAATTCAAATTGGTATCCTAAATCATGTTATGGCAACAGCGTAAAGGTCGTCGATGGGCTAAATATTAAAAATAGAGGCATTATTTTCAGGTGTGAACGACCAGGTTACACAAAATTTGATTTACAAGTCGTTTTAGAGTCAACAGTTGCGGCAGACAGAATAAAAGCCTGCTTATATGCAGTGGTAAGGACAGGCATGAATTAAAGATTAGGTGGAAAAAGAATATTTCTCTTAATATTTAAAAGAGCAAAATACTTTCAAAAACACTTTTAAGTTAGCTTTCAAAAACCTAAAAAATGTTGGCATGACGAAGTGATCATTAGGGAGTTTGGGACTTCCAGAACAGATAAAATAAAAGAAATTCTGCACACATTTAAAATCAATAAGTCAATGCAATGACTAATAATTGATATTATTTTGCAAAAAAGCCGTTCATTATTACCAAAACGCAGAATTGACTACAACGACTTAACGGTTTTTTGTTAATCTTAACAAATCCAATAATCCGAATTAAAGAATACTAACACAAACTAGGCCTTTAGTGTTAATCTTTATGATATGCAAACTAAATCCGATACCACTGAAGAAAGTCTTTATTTTTAAAGCAGAAAAATATTACGATGCTATCTTTTGTGACCAGGTATATCGGTTTCTGAATGCTAATTATAGTATATGCAATAATCAAAGCAGACAAATCCCAAAATCTTGCTTACCAATTCTTTCTAATTTCCTGAGGTAAATTTCTTAAATTGCGCACATTAATTCCCTGTCACCATATGCTAAAGCATCCTGATATGAAACACATTGCGATAATTATGGCGTCAATGTCTATAACGACAAGCCAAAGCATTCATCCGAGAGTCGTTGTTCCTTTGTGCACATAAAAGTATGTGGAAATTGCTTACTAACAAAATGCATGCATATGCAGGTGACTTTAGCAATCAAGTAAACTGCATCTCCTGAATTGCTTATGAAGTACTTGTGACTGTTGCGAAAGAAAGAAACATAAATCATATTAATTTATTTGTGCCACAACTTCTCCAAAGCCCTTCTTTTTTGAAATACGACATAATAGTAAAAATAGTGTGTCCATTAAATTATATTAGCCCGCATTAAAAATGAATTCACTATCTAACACAGCAGATAATTATTTCTGTCAAACAATAGCTCCAGTGCATCACAAATCACAATGAGTTATTCGTGACATAGAAAAAAAAGTTTCTTGCCTTGGTATTACTAGGGTTTAATAAACCTTACAGCAGGCAGATGACTTTAATCTAAGTGAATGAGTGCCTTTTTTATCACGCAACAACTTGTTTAGAAGCCTATCATTCATCATGAACAGGTATGCTAACATCACAGATTTTTTTAGTAATTTTCACGCACTGTATATAGAAATTCTCACAAACAAATGAAATTTATTATCAAATAATACCCAGATCATGACGCTGATATTCTAAGTTGGATTTTAAACAGATGAGGAATTGAACTGGAAGAAAACTTACTAATCAAATGGCAGATAACAATTTGCTCCCACGGATCTAATATCCTTAAAATTGACCTGTATAGAAAGGGTAGAATTATGCACAGTTTTTGATCCAAGAAGTGTGTCAAATTACCGCAGACTTAATCGATACTCTTCGAGTGAATTAGTAGAGGTACGAATAGCTAAATACTGTGATGGATATATTGAGTTGCGAAGAGGTTAAATGCAAAAGAAAGTTAAGAAAGACTAATATTGGTAGCATGAAATGGCTAAAATACGTGTCTGAACATTGTACAATACGGTTAATGAAATTGAAAAAAAACACGATTCACTTTAAGGGTAAAAAATGATCAAGCATTTCAACAAAAAACTGATGTGCCCTCTTAGCTGTTAAGTTTTTTAGAAATTAGGCTTTGACTTCTATTTCTTGCTCTAACGATGCATCGGAGAAAGTTACTGAAGCAGTGTATGGTCTGGAGTGGTGCAGTCATGACAAAATAATTTGTAATGCTCAGCAACAGAGACTAAAGTGTATTACGTAGATTAATCTTTTAGTTGCTAGAATAAGCTACTAACAGCTACACTAAAATAACAATAGCACGAATATTTTGGCCAAAACTAAATTCAGGAAGTGGGAATGCTGATAATCGATACAGAGAAGCATCACTCTCATCTGGCCCAAAGATTTCCTAGAATAGAGCCTAGAACAAAAAAAATGAACAGGATTATTGTGGGTATATATTATTCATTCAAAAGGGAAAAGACAGCACCCATTACCGTTATACATGTTCAATTATTGATTGCTGACGATTCCAAAAATCAGCGCAAAATCCCATTAGCAGGATAATTAAAAACAATGCAAAATTCGCGAGAAAAAAGTTTTTGCCTTAACTACATGAAACTAAATCTTAAAACAGCAGTTTACTTCAAACGACAATTTTTTTAAATTATTTCGTACGTCTAAAACTTTTAAATACCATTAATACCTAGAAAACTAAGCAGCATCCATAATATTTTTTACATTTTCTAGCCATATAAGTATGGTCAGACTTATACCGGTCTGATTTAAATATAAAGTAGAATGTGGCATTGTTCGTTAATATGCTTTGAGCATTGGACCTTTCGAGCGTGGCGGTCCAACCAAAGTGCGTGTGTTTTGCAAGCTTGTCCTTCCGATGTGTGTGTTGCTTGGAATTAAACATTTCTCTAAAACAATTTCTATCCCTGAACTTTACTTTTAAAACTTCTTTGTGTGTGTTTCAAGTTTATCGCAGATTGAACATGTTAGTTTTTAGTAAGGATGTGGCCTTCACTGCTGCTACGAAAACGTTTTAAAATGTATTCATTTAATGGTAATCGTAGCTAAAGTGCTTAGTACCACCATTCGAAATGATTGAAGTAAAACAAGTGTTTTAGCTTCTCTCAGTCTGTTTATAGAGATGTCTTTATTTATCACTGTTTTTATTCGATGCAGTTTGGGTTAAGCAGTGAAATTACTGGTGACCAAGGCGAAATGCGTGTCAGGGAAAATGTTTGCTTGAGTGTAAATGTTAAGGCTTGTTCCTGTAATTGACGGTGATACTATGTAATGGGGAACAGTGTGGTGACGGATTTCATGGACTTAATATTAACACGATTCGTCATATCGTTTCTTTCATTAGCGAAAAACGTTGGAGGATTTTTTTTTCAACTATAGTACTGAAAGTGAAACCGTAATTTTGCTGAAGTCGATATGTGATGATCATAAAGGGTGTTAGGACATGTTCGTGATCTGGAATGAGGACAAGTGTAGCACGACGATTTGTGATCACAAATATGGCAAATAGATGCTTTTGATCGTCTCCAAGTGATGTCCGTTTCACTTTATTGGGAAGCGTGGTATCATTTGCTGCTGGGTGTCCGAAAGTTTGATGGCAAAAGTGGTGATATGCATTCGATGAGATATTCGATGCTTTTGATCTCTCTGAGAGTCGAGAACCATGACGAGAAAGCGAGAGTGGATCAAAAGGTTCCTCCCCTCATTTGTCGAAAGTCGTGGCCTGGTAATATTTGAGCGTGTGTGTTTGTGTGGTGAAAGATCAATCTCTTGTCAATTCAGGATAATCACGCTGTTGGCGTTGACCCCTCTTATTTTTGGTACTGCAATGAATGCAGCAAGATGGCCAAACTCTGCTTACACAACAAGTACCGCGGGAAATCTGCATTAAACAGTCTTTCCATTGCATACATCGTTTACCACCAGATTCTACATATTCTTCATCTTAAACCACACTCATCTTCCCTAAAGTGCGTTTGAACTGTCCTAAACCTAGACTACGGGAGAACTCTCCAACACCAACGAGCCCATTATCCCGTAGTTGGATACGAACGCTCCACGGATTTTCCAAGCGTGGCATCTTTGCAAACTCCTGTCTTGCATTGAAGACTGCGCCTCTTTGAAGGGAGGAATTGTCACGCACGTGTCTCTCCCGATACTCCTAAATATACCGACATATTCGTTCTAAACCCACTGGCTCGTCTGTTTGGTCTTGTAGCAGTGTCGTTTCAGTTACAGACACAGTGCTTATTCCATTTAGACCCAGAAGCAGGTTGCGCGGTGGACGTTTTTCTTACAAAAAAATGTCAAGAATACGCGCACTCGATTCCGATGCTATCCGAAAACTGTGCTCCAGTCAGGTTGTTGTCACTCTAGGAATTGCCATCAAAGAGTTGGTGGAAAACGCGATTGACGCAGGAGCCAAGAAAGTTGGTAGGCCTCGCCCCCTTTTTTTCTCAGACTTGCCGCTAGAAATCAAGCTGAAGAACTACGGCTGCGACTCGATTGAGGTGATTGACGATGGTTGCGGCATAAGTGAGGATAGCTTTGAAACCCTTGGTTTGTGTGGCGTTTCGACAATTAATGCCTTATAGGTAAAAAGCACAGCACGTCGAAGATACAAGACTTCGGTGACATTGTCGGGGTTACGTCGTTCGGATTCCGTGGGGAGGCTCTCCATTCGCTGTGCCAAGTGGCGTGAGTTTAATCTTTGGTCTTTTGTACTCTGCTTTGCCTCCGTGAAAGCCATCCTACCTTTTGAGTTGTTAGTGACGTTGCAGTACACACCCGAGCCGAGAGCGCTAGGTCGGGCACACGACTGGAATTCTCCACTGCTGGCGAGGTGAAATCGCGTCGGCCGTTGGCTCGCAGCAAAGGCACCACAGTCGTGGTGGATCGACTTTTTCACACCCTTCCCGTACGAAGACGCCACCTAACCGACCAGAGTCGTTTGCTCAAGGAGTTTACTGCGGCTGTTAGCCTGATTTCGGGCTACTGTGTCTCTCTGGTCGGTGTGCAGTTGGCTTGTTATCGATTTGACAAAAAGGGGTAAGGTTTGACTTGTTGTTGTGTTGTGACATCGCTTGTAGGACGAAAACTCTAGTTGTCTCGAATATGAGCGCCAGATCTGTGTCCGAGAACATAGCTGCGGTCTTCGGACAGGCTCAGGTAAATGTGCTCTGCTTTGCCGCAATTTTCGCTCTGTAGCTTGATTCCTTGGTAGAAATTGCGAGCGATTTTCCCCTCCCAAGCGAACTTATCAATGAATTCAACGTGAAGTTGAGCAGTGAGGAATTGGACGAGATAAGGTATGTTGGTGGTGTTCCGCTTACTCTAACCTTCCAAGGGTCTCTGGATACATATCTGCGCCGCCAACAGGCGCTTCAAAAAACACCGGCAGGTCGTCCGCAGATCGGCAATTCGTCTGCATCAATGGTCGTCCATGCGACTTCCCGCAGCTGACTCGTCTCGCCACGGACGTCTGGCGTCGCTGTTGTCGCGAGTGTCTGGCGGCGTCGTCTCAGTCCCTCGAAATGCCTTCTCGAAGCACGTTTTCTGGATTCCCAGTCTTGGTTCTGAATATCCAACTTCCCAGAGGTAAACTTGTACACATGGAAGTGAGAGAACACATCCTACTCTACCATGTCATCAGCAATGTTGGCTGGGTTTCATTATAGAGTGATAGTACACAGTGACTAAGCGGCGTCGTAATGTCTTCACTGCCGACTTGGTCGTCCCTTAGTAGAGAAAATATCTAGCCAAACTTGAGATTGTGAGAAGGCGAGATTGCCATTCAGCCCAATCAGCAAGAAAGAAAAGACGAGACGTGAAATGTTATAGCTAGTTTATTTGCGAATAAAAGAATAATTTCTTCAGTCCGTGCTGCCGCGAGATCTGATCCAAAATACTGTCTGATTGGACCACCGGAAAACCCAATACTTGCCCAATCGTAGCCTTCCTTTTCTCACCTTCCGAAGAACACAAGCAAATGACTCGGGATTGTGTCGCCGCGTTGATTCCCATAATTAAACACAAAGTAGAAGCAAGTTGGGCAGTGCATTTCGACGAATTCGCTGACTAGAATGCAACTTCATGACGCTCTGCTCAATCGCAGACTGTTTTGAAGGGAAATTAGAACCGTTTCACAGAGTATTTGTTAGCTAATTACTGTTATTTACTTCGAATTCGAATCTGGTTCTGATTATTTGCCGGTATTTATTCTGAGCACATGTAACTCACTCCCAATCCCACACAAGTGGTCTATACAATTATCTTTTTTTTTCAATTTCAGCCAAAGTGGATGTGAATTTGTCGCCAGACAAGCGTCAGCTCCTCTTGCACTGGGAACGTCCGGTTGTGATGAAGGTGAAAGCAGCCCTTGTGGCGACCCTCGGTTGCAACGACGGTCAGCAGAGCCTCGCGAGTATTTCAAACCTCGGCGATTCTAACACCTTCGTCGAAGGAGGCGGTGAAGGTGAGTAGGCGCACTAGTGCTGCTGGAGGTTGTTGTGCTTCGATGGGGTTTCGATTTGTGTGTGTGTGTGTCTCAACTGGTAGGTTGTTCGCCTGTGAGGTCGCTACAGCTCACTCAGCAGCCGCTAATATCACCCCACCTGACCATAACTCCATCGACTCCTGAGGCTAGGTCGTCGCCTCAATTGGCCAAGCGACCGCGGCTCTCGATGCCGGTGTGCCAACTTCAGACGACTTCACCGTCGACACCGAGTGCGAGAAAGTCCATTTTCGCCAGCGATTCTGCCAGGAAGACGTACGACAACAACTTGGTAGGCCATTTTGATCGAATAGTTCGCGCCTACCACGATGGTAACGTCTGTCTAATAAAGCCACCATCATCTCCACCGCCACCACCGCCTCTGCCACCACCATCACCACCGTCACCTCTGCTACCAACCTCCACCACAACCTCCGCCACCAACCTCCACTACTACCTCCACCACCAACCTCCACTACCGCCTCCGCCACCAACCTCTACCACCACCTCTGCCACCACCTTTACAACCTCCAGCATCAACCTCCACCGCCGCCTCTTCCACCGCCATCACCACCTCTGCTACCAGCCTCCAGCACGACCTCTGCCACCGCCTCCACCTCCGCCACCAACCTCTACCGGCACCTCTGCCACCACCTCCACGACCTCTGCCACCAACCTCTAGCATCGACCTCCACCACCGCCTCTCCCTCCACCATCACCACCTCTGCTACCACCACCATAACCTCATATTCAATGAATCCCTATTACCAAATAGGCATTGTTTGTTATTTGTCAAGCCTATCCTCAATCGTCGAAGGATCGACGTTAACTTCTCATTGGAACGCCTTCACCGTTACTGGATGTCACAAGACGAACCTGCCGAGTCCACTGAGGTCTCTTCAACTGGATGCTTTCACGCGGGTCTGACTGAGTCGTCTGCTGAATCGGAGTTGACCACATTGTTTAAGTCAGTTATTTCCTAGAGTGTGATCTCTTAATTCCCGCTGTGTCTATCTTTGACCGATGCAGGGTTAAATGCCCGTTTGAAATGGCTCATTATCTACAAATACTTTGTTACTCCACAGCTGAAGGCACTGATGACGCGTCGATGGGTGGAGTAGATGACCCCAAAACTGTACATTTTGCTGATCCGAGGGGTCTTGGTTGAGTCCTCTTAAAACTCATTGTGCGTCAGCGGTACTGATTTCGTTCATTTTCAGACGAGAATGGTTCAAGGACATGCGAGTGGTCGGTCAGTTCAACAAGGGCTTCATCATCTGCCAACACGAGAAAGATCTCTTCATTGTGGACCAGCACGCGAGTGATGAGAAGTACCGATTTGAGTGCCTATGTGCGAATCACCAGTTCACCAGCCAGCCTCTTGTCTCGTAGGTTCGAAGCCCTTGTTGTCGACAAACGCAGAATGCGGTTATGTTAACTCTCACTCTCTTCTTCTTGTATCTCAGGCCTCAGCAACTGACCTTGAACGCGGTGCAAGAGCACGTGTTGGAGGAGAACATGGAAGTGTTTGCGAATAATGGATTTGCCTTTTCAGTTGACGAAAACGGCAAGTTCTCGCTTTGAAATTTGAAGTCATGTTAAACGTAAATTAGGCGTTACTTTTGAGATGGGGTACAAAATCAATCAATGTTGACATATTTCGTGTCTGTTTCCATGAGCCCTGCAAACACCTCTAAGGCCATCGGATGAAATAAAATGTTTAAAAATCTATTAAGACCTCCCCCTCGAAAAAAATTTTTGACACTATTCCTTAACCTCTGTCTTCTCTGTGATTCAGCGCCCTTGGGCCGGCGCTACTGCCTCGTGTCTGCACCAATGAGCGAAGGCAAGGTCTTTGGTCGAGCCGGTATGTGAAGGTTTGTGTGTTTTGGAGCACTGCTAGTGTGCACCTGTCCGTAGACAACCTTTTTCGCCTTGCAGATGTCGAGGAAATGCTCTTCGTCCTATCGGAAAGTCTGGTACGTCCGGCGTTTCATGATTAGTCGTCGCCTGAGCCAATCACGTTGCTCCAACCACGTATATTGGCCTTTCGATAGAATTACCTAGGGGCGAGTCATATCTTACTCTCAAAACATACACGCATAATGTGTCTCTGTCGAAGTCCCGTGGTAATTGATAATCAATTTGCTGACGGCTGAGGTCCCAGCATGCATGGAGCGCATATTTGGTCATCGATTTCTGATTATCGGCTGGAAAGAACTGTGTAGGCTTTGAAGGATGTGTGTATGTGGTTAGACAGACAGCTGAAATCTTTTTTTACGCGTGGCGCTTAGTCCCGGAACTGTCGACCGTCGAGACTTCGCGACGTTTTGGCCTCGCGCGCATGCCGAAGCGCAATAATGATTGGCACATCTCTCAGCCACCAACAGATGACACGAGTGAGTTTTCTTGCGCTGTTCAAACCCACTGCGTAGCACTCCTGTGACCCTACGCATCCGCATTTTTTAGATCTTAGCCAACATGAGCTGCATGGAACATCCGTGGGTAAGACGGTGGTTTGATGTGGAACTCCTTGTCACCACAAAACCTTGCATTTTACCCTCTTCTTCCACCCTTAGAACTGCCCTCATGGAAGACCGACAATGCGACACCTCTTCCATCTTGGAAGGCTGCACCAACTAGAGCGTAGATGATCTCACCTCCCGGATATTTTGGAATACTTTTTTAACGTCTATTCGAGTTTTATGCCTTTTGAATAAACTAAGATTACTTCAACAAACTCTCCCCTTTATCACATCGACAGTTTTATCGCACAACTTCGTTTAATTGGTCATCTAGGAGGGCAATTCGGGATGTACAGAATGTATGTACAACGGCCAGTGGTCCTACATGGCGCTAGCCAGCTCGAACCACTGACGAAGGGCGTCAGCAAGGAGTTGAGGGAGTGCTGTCACATCGCGCAGCACGAGGTAGTAAGGAAGTGGGAAGATGTCCATGTAGGGCAGTAGGCGACCCGGTCCCGCGTATTTCCGCAGATCGAAGATGGAGTGCTGAAATAGGAGGTGCAGTGGAATAGGTCTGAGTACATGGAAGGGGTGTGGTAGGCCGCGGGTCTTGGAATCTACCACTCACCTTTTTCCTCACGTCGTCGATGATGATGCAGACGATGAAGAGGTGGTGGTCGCGAGCCATGCGGACGGCCGCCTGCAGCTTTGGATGTTGCGGATCCTCTGAAAAGACCCCGTCCGAGAGAATGAGGAGGAGCTGACTGGCGAGTGACTTGCCTGTGCCTTCGCCAGCAGCCCGCATCAGTGTGATCGATGTCTGGAGAAGCTGGAATCAAGAGAAGGTCAATGAAGGCATTAAAACCTCGCAAACGACAACGCATCCACTAAAAGAGACACAAAACAGGGACTTGCCTCGGTGAGTGAGGTACGTGATTGCTTGAAATCGAAGTGCGCCAGCATGGAAGCTCCGACCTCGTTGTTCCAGGGCTCGCCAAGTCCGTGGACGACTTCCACCGACTCGCCAAAACTACAAACCAGATGTGGAATTAGCAGCGGTGGTGGTTAGGACGGCAGACGCAGACAAGGAGACACATACCTGCACACTCCAATCTTGCCCGCTTCCAGCAGGTTCAGGGCGCAGACTACGGTAGCCAGAGCCTCGAAGGTCATCTAGAAGAGATTTCGAAGGATACTCACAATTCCGCACGGCGAACATGACCAAAACAGAAACACCACCAACCTGTTTGCACAAGTTGTCAGCCATTGACGAGGAGTTGTCCACGGCGATCAAGATTCGGTAGTCGCGTTGACTTGGTTGGGTGCGTCGCATCCAGATCTTGTCCTTGCGGAACTGACTTGCGAGGTACGGAATTATCTACAGACCAAAAAAGCCGGTTTTCCAGCGAAACACCACAGTGGTTTGGCAGCGCTGCTTTGGGCGAATTCGCCACGCTAACCTTGCGCATATTGAGCCGTTTCCCAGTTCGGAAGTCACCCTTCATGCGCGAGGCCCGAGTAGGTTCCAGCACCAGCCGCAACGCCTCGCACAGCTGCACTGACATCATCGACGACCTCGACACGCAGTCCCGCCAATCTACTGCGGCGTTGATTAGGGCGTCTCGGTCGACCGTCGGAACGCGGCCTTGTGGCATCAGAGGCGCGATGGCACCGACTACATCCGCGGCGTCCAGCTTCTGAAATAGAGGCAACATGGTTCACGTAGGAGCCTCTCTACAATGCGAACACTTCTTGGTGGCACAAACGGGAAAGGCGGAGTCACCTGGGTGTAGAACTTAGACTCGGGACCGCGTTCAGCTCCGAGGGTGTCGATGATTTCCATGTCGACCTTGGGCAGACTTCGACTCTCGCTACCAGCGGCAGCCTCTCCGTCAGGGTGGAACTCATCAGTTGCGGAAAGCAAATCGCGTTTGGGCATCAAAGGCTTCGACTAGGAAGGCAACAGACAACAGTACAATCACTTCATAGCCTGTGTCAATTCGCTTACAACCATGCAGAGCATAATAAAACATTTTCGACCACAGTTTAGTACAAGGAGTTCCCATTCACACCGACCTCAACCACTGCCTCCTCCTGTTGCATTGGCTCGGGCATTTGGTTGTTGGGATCGAGTCCGGGTTTCAGCGAATCCTCTTCGTCCGCATCAGTTGATTCCATCTGCTCCATCTGCTGCTGCTGCTGATCCTTCTGAGCGTCTGTGGCGGAATCAAGGACGGTCAGCTTCGTGTCACTTTCACCTTCGACGTGTTGAACTGCGTCAGGCAGGGGCGTTTCAGACTCCTCGCCGCCGGGATTCACGTCCTCTTCGGCGTCCAAAATTTCCGTCTATTTTGGGCGAAAAATGATAGTACAGTGAACATGTTCGCTAGCAGCCCAAACTGTCACTGGTAGGTTGCCTTACCTGCCGAAGAGGTTTCGATTGATCGTCGTCACCACTGCTACCATCCTTGGTCGTCCGACGCTCCGATGTGGGTCGTGGACCGCGGCTACGTTGAGGTCGTCGGCTAGCGGTTTCTGACTGTGGAACGTCACGGCGTTCGGATGGAAGACCCGTGGAATAGCGTCCAGGCTGGGCGTCGACTTGGTTGTCCACACCCCCAGTACGGGCCTCTTCAGCATCACCGGAACCCGCATCGTCCTGCAATGAAATGGAAAATGGTCACTGAGACTTGAAAAAAATCAACAACATGACAAAGAACATGATATTTACCTCATTGGCACCTGATCTCTGATCCTGCGACCCAATCGACTAGAACGAAGGAAAGGAGTGCTTTGAAAGGGTTTCTTACTTCGAGCAACTTTGACAATGAGTGAAACTCACGTGTCCGGTATTGAGGTCACCAAACGCCGATTGGTGCTCAGTAATTAATTCATCCGAAGTTTTCTTGCCTGCAAGCTCTGCTAAAATAATGGACCAATAAGATTTTAGGAAGGTGTTGGTCGGACCAATTAGAATTCAGGAAGGTGTTAGTCGATACACACACAAAACGCACCACTTTCGTTGGCGTCAATTTCGACAGCGTCACCGTCGTCATTGTTACCTTGTTCCTCCCCGTCAATTTCCATCGGCTCAGCGTTTAACTCGATCTCACCCTCTGGAACTTGAGTGTCTGAAAGCCAACGTAAATCACAGAAACTGTAATGCTAGTAAAATTTTGGTTCTTTTAACAACTGGCATCTAGTTTCAGGGACATCGGAGAGTTAAAGAACAAGCTCTCGAGGGAATTTTCTAGCTCACCATCCATGTCTTCGAAGTCTTCGGGATTTGGTTGGAGATCCATATTCTCACCGAATTCGTGTTCAACGTCCTCTTCGTTCGGATTCTCCATGCCCTCCTCGGATTCTATCATCTCAGCTTCCTTTTGAGCCAGCGCAGCCTCGTCCTGCTTCAAAGCTTCTGTGGCGTCCGCGTCGTTCTCCTTCGACTCCTCGCCATGGGCATTTCCAGCGACGGTCTCGCCTCCACCGCTAGCAGGTTGTTCGTCCTGCTTCGCAACAGTAGTAGCCGTCTTGGAGTCATCATCATCAGCACCACCATCGTCGTCGTCGTCGTTGACTTCGCCGGTCTCGTCTGTGTTTTCTACGTCATCGAACTTGGCAGGCTGATTCTTGGTGCCTTTAGCGGTAGACTTGGACTGTTTCGACTTGGTACCACCACGTTCCTCGACACCAGGCTCGTCCGTGTCGGCATTCTTGCGTTCCTCCTTCTCACCCTCCTCTGCATCCTTCTCCTCCTCATTTTCAGAGGCCCACATCTCCTGGTTTATCTCATCTGGCTCGTCAGCAGCCTCACCCATTTGCTCGTCAATGCCATCGAGATTATCTTCATCCGCCTCCCCATCACCATCGTCTTCTTTCTTCTCCTCCCGACCGCCACCATCATCGAACGCGCCGTCAAAGTCCTCAGTCATTTCAATTCCATCCGCGGAATCGGGTTTCGGAAGCTCCTTGTCATCGCGTCCCGCTTGCTGGTTCCGTTGGTCCAGAGTGCCCTCGATCTGCTCCTCTGACTGAAGCTCCTTCGAGACGTCCTTGGCTCCACTAGCGTCCACACCTTCAGCAGTGAGACTTGTACACCCACCATCGTCGTCACCCTCACCACCTCTGGAGTCCGTGGCGTTGCCGTCGGCCGACGAGCCCTCCTTTCCACTTCCCACGCTTGCCGTGGCCTTGGAAAGTGCGGAAGGCTTGCAAAAACCATCGTTGAGCAAACGGAAAGCCACCTGAGCCATAAATTCACCGAGAGTGAGCCAGACAGCCAGGAGGCACCAGAGTTGACGCAGTCGCGCCGACACAGCCTCAAGCAGGGCAGTGAGGAGAGGGGTCAGGAGTCGAAGAAGGCTGACTTCCTCGGCAGTATGAGGGGTCAGTTTGCGTAGGTGCGAAGCGACTGCTGTTAACGAGTTCAAACAGGAGACTGACAAGGCCGATATGCAACTTGTCATGCGGTCAATGCTGCCTCTCTCGACGTGGACCTTCTCGTCGATGAGTTTGAGGTTTTGAAGACTAACCAGGATCTTCGAGATGATCGAGTTGAGGCTGGTTGCAAACGGTTTTGAAGCGGCCTCCTGTCTAACTGAAGCTATTAACTCGCCAGATGCTTCAACTTCAGCGGAAATCGAGCTTGCAACACCTAGCAAGCTGGAGAGAAGGGTTGTATCGGGGCATGTCTGCGAGTTTATCGTCTGACAACATTCGACAAAGTCGTGTGCAACTGCTTCCAACAGTTTCTGTTGACTAAGAACGTCTCCCGTGATGGCAATACATGCCGGAGATATTCGTTGATCCAAGCGACAAGCCAGGTCCTCCAGCTGAGATCGTGAATCGGCGAGAGCTTTCGAGAGACCGCAAGCTGGTGACTCGAGTGAAATGGACCCAGAATTGGCCAGTAGAAGATGACTCAGGGCTTCAGATGGCGGCGCGGTGATGGAAGAACATGTCTCCGAGAACCTGGTCCACTGACGAACGCATTCTGAAGCGAGGTCGGCTATGCGTTGACGAGAAGCCTACATTACCAGCGAAACAGAAAACGTTGTATTTGTGTTAAAGTGGATGGACAAGAGGAAGAGTTTAGCTGAACCACACACCTTCAACTTCAGCATAATCTGACTTGAGCATGGAAGTATCGCATCGGCTTGAAGGCCAACTCCATAAGAGACGTGCATCTCTTCGAAACGCCTCTTCAGTGACTGGAAGGTGGTGAAGAGGTTGGAGAGAGGCGCGAAAGCGTCAGCGCAGTGAGCCATAAGATCGTCCAGAGACCCGATTAGTCGTTCCACACCCTCACGACCGCCCAAATCGTCCACGACCTCGGGGTTGTCGGGGTGTTTAGGCAGACCAGAACGAAGGGAAACCAGTCGCGCAAAGCTTGCAGACGCCGACTTCTGACTAAGAGACGCAAAAATGGAAGCTTGGTTTATGCATTTAAAACAGATAACATCGATCTTTTGAACGGATCAAAGCCTGGAAGGCTCAGGAGTAGGAAACGGTTACAAGCATGGGATTTAAGACAGGTGTTTGAAACAGCTGTGGAAGGTGTGCTCAGAGAACAGACTTCAAGGTGCTACTTTTCAGAAAACTCACAGGTTTTCCAGAGTGCCAGTCGATAAGAGCTGTTCCAGGTGATCAAGGGGTGATGAGGGTGAAACTGACGGACACCTCCACAGGTCACAACCTAGAGACGACAGAAAGTGGCCACGAGGCTTGTCAAAGAAGCCCTTTCTCAAACCACGGCGATACGAAAGACCCAGACAGAAGTCATCTTCGTCGTCTTCGGTGTTGGGTTCTTGTGAAACCGGGGACTCTTCGATGTCTTCGTCTTCGAAGGATCCAGCGCTAGTTGGCTGTTGATCATCACAGCTAAGAATGTCAGAAAAATGCATAAAATGCAATATACGACCCCTCCACCTCAACTAATCAGGGCTTATGGGACGTACCTCGAGGCAACCAATCGTCTTCGTCCAAACGCCAAGCGGAACCAATCACTGAGCGCCAATTTCTTGTTCTGCTGCAAGGCCGAATACCGACCAATCCAGTCTTTGGCTTTCCGCATTTCGTCAGCGTCTTTTTCCTGTGTTGCCTTGCGTTTGGTTGGTTCATAACCGGCCTCCTTCTCTTTGAGCAACACCACGAGAGCCGAGTGTGAAGGCGACTCCGAATCCAGCTGTTGTGTGGCACTCGACAACTCCTTAACACGCCCACACCATCCCTCAAGGCAGTCTCGCAGTTGATGGATCCACGCGATACACGGCGCTGTCGACGCGATCTGCGAAACGTGCTTCTTGAAACGCGAAATCAGCACCGGAAGTCGTCTAGGATGGGAATGGTGTAACAAAAATGAGGGGAAAAAGCAACACAAGGCCATACTTGCAAAAAAATGCGCACCTGATATTCACGGGTAGGTTGGTCTCATCCGCCCGTTTAGACAGCCATGTGCGCAGGTCGGAGGAGAGTTCGAAAATGCCCAAGTCGAGACGCTGCAATGACTGGAGATCTTGCAAGGAGGTCGTGAATGTTGCATCGGAGATGGGCACCTCAATGCCCGTTTGTATCGCTGCCTCGAAGCAGGGCTTCACCGACTGGCGCAAGATCCCTTCCCAAGTGCGGATCTAGAATAGCGAATGTAACAAATAGGGGAATAACAAAAGTCGGGAAGCAGAGATAATCCGCAAGGCGTGACTGAGCATACGTGTTTGTGGATGGTGCGCTTGCATCGATCTACGTTATCTTTCATCGTCCAGAAGCCCACGTAGTCGCCCCACTTGACCACAGAGATGAAGCCCCGCATCTCCTTCCTGATTGGCTTTTGTTGGTCCAGTAAAAATTTGTTTACGTGCGGCAGGAACTGACGGTAGAACCACACAACGTTGCCCACGGCCTGCTGTGAGGCAGATCTCTCTGAAATAGACAAGTTTGTTGAAGACAGATACTTCAGGGAGGTATTTCTTCTAGGCATGCTCTGCAGGGCAGGAGATTCTCAATTCCAGGGACGTTTGATCACGGAGTGGAGGCAGGGTTTGGTTGATAATGCCGATCCCCTAGCAGTCCCAACTATTCAATATCTTCAGTGGCTACATCTTTGTGGAAGGAACACTTGTCTACCTACTCTAGCCTGGCACAACAGAAATTTGGTTTGGATGACGGTGACGAGGATGCCTCCACAACTACTTAGGCACTACAATGTCGTCTAGCACGAAAAGTAGATATTAGTCAGTGAGGCAGACACTCACGCTGATCCGAGAGACCAGGCCACAGACCAATGGCGCGGTGCAGCGCATCAAGAAGACGCCACCGAGCGTGGAACTCGCCAACCGGTCCGTTTTCCATGAACTCCAGAAGGACCTGGCACTGGTCTTCGACGGCGGCGGTGCTGAACTCGGCTGTGGGATGCAGGAAGACGCCATACAGGTGGAACCACAGAGGAGCGCATCCGTCGGCAGAGGCCTGAGTTGCGGCGTCGAGCGAGGCCATCCAACACCTGAAAGGCAAGTGACACTGCCCTGAAGCGATCCACAAAAAGGAGCAACCTCCAGGTGTCAAGTGCTTGACCTACTTCAACTCCAGTTTGCGCCAATCCACGAGAAGCGCACAGACGGACTTGAAGGGCTCGACCAGGGAGACGTGTCGGGCTGCATTTTTCTCCCATTCCTGGAAAAGACAAATTAGCAAAAGACGCGACGCATACCTGCATCTCGGCCAAGAGCATTTCAAACGCGGTGATGTACTTCATGAGACAATCGCTCATCGCAAAACCGCCCATTCGGTTGATCACGGTGAGAATCTGAAAGAGACGGCAACAGTGGATCAGAGGTGGTGTGGTGGTTATGTGCAGGGGATAAAACAACCAAAACCTCACCTTCAACAAAGCCGGATGCTCAGGCCAGTCGTCGAGCACCTCCAGAACACGCGTGCGCACCGCGTTCATCATCTGGTGTGCCTTCCTGGCCTCCGCAACGGGAATGCGATCGCGGTACACATTGAGACAACGCCTCCGACGCACGAATGTTCCACCGGTGGAGGAGAGGAGCGGATCGAAGGCAAAGAGGCACTCACCCTCGCCGGCTTGTGAGGGGTCGCAGGCGTTCAGGGCGAGACGTGCGGTAGCCAGCTGGTGAGCTGGCAGGCATATTCCGTCCGAGGCGACAGCTAGTCGGTAAAGAGAGAGATGAAAGACGCCATTCGAATTACCTTGCAGAGAACTTGTTGTGGGCCCCAGCATGCGGTCTAAAACCACGCCGGGGCCACGGATTTAACCCTGGCCCGATTTAGCTTGCCTGATACCCGCAATGAAGAAAAGGATCGGAGAGGACGTGGACACAACCGTTTACTTCAGAGCTCTACCTCGTTGGTGTCGTTGTGTCGTGTGTGGGGTTTGCGCGTGTGTATTTATACCTCGGGTGTGTGAGTCATAGATGCGCCAACATCGAGACCTACGCGTGGGGATACTCCAAGATAAACATTCGTGCTGATGAAGGGGGAGTTGAGGATTCGTGCGGCTGGCAACATGCTACGAAAAGGGGAATCCTGTGTAGGAGGTGGAGCGACCGGATTAAGAGGTTGAATAAACACGAATCACACCAAACTAAACACATGAGTCTGAAGGGGCAAGGCAAGAGGAGTACGGGGGTATGGCTAGGAGATTCCCTACTTCTTAACTTCCAAATCGTGTGCAGTGCCTGTTAGGCCACATGTGTTTTAACGCAGCTGGATGCGTTCATCCACCAATCACACACGTGGAAGCGCTTTCATTGAATGCAAATCAGCCCTTGCCAGAGAATCTGTTCCCGCACTTCTATGTTTCCTAATCTTCTCTTTGTACACATTTGGGAAGAAACGTCAGCACAGCCAATTAGATTTGAGCACGCGAACTTACGCAATTGGTGCTTGGAGTTGGCTAGAAGGTGACCGGCCAATCGATAGCCCTGCATGAACGTCGACCACCAGTGCTGATCAACCGAAACGCACTTCAACACCTCCTCATTTCGTGTGGACGTCAGATTCAGCAGGTAGACCAATCGATCGACGAAGGAGACTACCTCGGAATTGGGTGGCATCCAACTGTAGCTGATCTGGGCTTCATCCACTGTCGCTAACTCCTGTTCGTACCAGGAGTTCACCTGTTCAATCTTCCTCACGGTCTACGGAAAGAGGAGTAACAGTTAGCACAAGGGTTAATCTTCAAATAAGAGAGATGAGACTTGATAAACCTGGCGAATTTGATCGTCTCGTGAGAGATGCAATTCGAGGAAAGAGGCGCTTCCATCTGACAGACATCGCTGAGCGTCGATGGCTCCAGCCTCGGAGAATCGAAGACGCCACTCAACCTCCTCGTTGAGACCGGCGTCGACAAGTTCGGGCAGATCATCGGTGTCCAGACGTTCCTGGCGTCGACGACGTTTCTCGGCGCGCGTCATCTTACTTGAGGCCTTGGAGGACTTGGCGACGCGACTGGAAGTTTGGAGGTCGTTGAGGCACCTTCGACGCTTGTTCTCCGCTTCGATGAAGAGGGCGGCGCGTCGTTCGGCGTCGCGTTTGCGTTGAGCCTCTGATCGACGCCACCGAACCGCCAACTGACCGGTGATGGCCTTGAGAATGCGCGAAATAAACTCCATCCGATGTGCAGCCTCGCTGCTGCCCGGCATTGTGAGACAGTCTAGCAGAAGGAGGTCGAGAATGTGGGAGTTTAAACTAGAGAAGACAAAAAAACAAGTATTGGGCATTCAGGGTGTGACGGAGGATTCCCGCGCGAAGTGACCTCCACCCACCGGTGTTCCGCTTCGACTTGAAGCAGAGCGTTTTGACGAAGGCGAGCGTCGACGTCGCGCGAATCGGTGAATATCGATTGGGGGGTCGCTGATGGCTTGGTCGAGGCGGCACTTCCACTCCACGCGGAGCGCAGAGCAGCGCGGACTTTCGGCGAAACCAACTGACGAACCAGCTGTAGACAGGGGGACAGAGCGGGACGCGACGGAGGCTGGCGGGTAGCAAGGAAGGGGAACAATCCCGATGACAGGGCCTCCACGAGGTTGGTGAATGAAGCGACCTGGAAAAAAAGGAATTTGCGGTATGGCGTCGTTGGGGATTTTGATTAGGTGTGGAAAGGTCCTGCAAACCACTTACATCGTCGTTCTTGGCGACTTCCAGGTTAACGAGAGTTCGAAGGCCGTGAACCACCTACAACACGACGTGGAAGGTAGATGAAATGCCATCTTATCGATTAATTGAGCGCTGGCGTCTAGGTGCCCTGAGGAAGCATGTGCAGACGCCAACTATACCAACACGAACCAAGCACACACAACTGTGGTCACAACATTAACGGGGAACTAAATTATGAATCTAAAAACTTCATTTCACTCGACAATAAGTAGTTAGAAGCCGAGGTTGCGAAAATATCTAACGTTTAGAAGCAATATACGAAATCAGATCATTTCCAAGTGATTCTGTAGTCTTGTTACTAGATGCAGGGTCAGGAGAATGTTGCACTCAACCCCTCATTAAGCAACGCGCATGTGACCCACTTTCCACTCAATGAAGCCTTCCTGATTCCTTACAACTACATCCAGTTCTGCTGAATGCTTCCTAGCGGTAGTTGAAACTACAGCCTCAAACAGAACGTTTGAAAAGACCAACAGTTCGTTTAGCTCAACATCGTGTTCCAAAGCACCAGATGCCGATTCCACGTCAAAGTGTGGGGTTTTCCAGGCTAACCTTGGCGACTCCAAGCAAATAGGGTTCCACGACGTCGGCGTACTGATGGAGGTGATCGGGCTGAAGAAACCAGTCGGCCAGATCGGCTGCCGCCTCAATCCACTGGTGGAAGGAGTGTGACGAAGTGGCGCCACACGGTTGGCTCAGCAGGTTCAACAGAAAGTCACCGGTGAAGTTCTGGTTGAAGGCTGCCAAACGGCGTCGAAGTTCGGCGTACTGCGATAAAAGACAAACTCTCATTCAGCGCTCAAGTCGTACACTTAGCGAGCATGGAGGGGTAGAGGGAGAGGACTACCTGTGAGTTGGACGCAGCTGCACGCTGTCGGGCTGCCTCGTTCTCCAACTCGACGACCTGTCTAGCCTGAAGGCGTTCCAGTTTCGCAGCGACCTTGTCGCGTCGCCTGACAATCGCGCCTACCAGCGGGTGTTCAAGACCCGCCTCAACATTCGACTGCACGGTGGCGCTGTCTTGGCAACCGGTGTGGTCGGACGCAACGCAGGGAAGACCACAAGAACCAAACTGGATCCTGCGGATGGTTCCTCGCACGCTGATATCAGCGTTAAGGGAGTCCAGCTACGGAAGAAGAAGAAATTGAGAGCAGGAACCGGCTGTGTTGGCGCCCTCTCTCTAGGCCACAAACACTTCTATCGACTAACCTCAGAGGTGGTGATTGCCACCTTGTAGGCATTGACGATGTTCGGGTCGAGGGGTGAAGCAGGGTACGAGCACATCATTTGTAAGGCTCCCCAAATGATCCATGCGCGGGCAACTGATTCCGACGATGAAGTGTTCTTTAGAGCGACGTAGAACGCCCGAAGGAGGCGATAGAACGAAGACGAGACGAGGTTTTCGGGAATCAGGTTCACAACCGAGGTGCCGAGTACTTCGACGAAGGAAGACATGTCGGTGCAGTCGAGAAGGGGTGAGACGAGGTCTTGGAGACTCGTAGCTTTCTGTGAACTGGAACTAGGACAAAACTGCAAGTTGAGTTCGGAAAGCACGATTTTTAGGTAAACAGGTAGGGTCTACAAGCGTACCTCATTTGCCCACGGTGGTATTTGTGCAAGGCAGTCAAAATTGTACAGAAAAGGGACTTTGACGAGTCCAACAGCTGCGGAAGTTCCCTGAAAGGCAAAGAGAAACATCACATGGGGTTGAAGTTTGATATTTTCGTGACGGCATGAGGAGGACGTACTCAGTAGGTTGGTGCAATATCCGCGCATTGGAGGAGCACAGTGGGGCTAGGCGCTGCAGTAGGTGGAATAGATCTGACGAAATTTGCTGATATGACGTCCAGTTGGCGAAAGAGCACTCAACATCACCCCGGGCAGTGGAGACGTGGTCGCTACGACTCAGAGTAAACACGGCCTGTGATAGGGTGCGCCATTCTTGAGTGAGGTCGGGCTAGGTTAGAACAAACACGATAAATTGGGGTGTAAAATTTTGCCGCGATGCGAGGAACTGGCGGGACGTACCTTTACTAGACCCGCGGGGTTGGCAAGTTCCAAGGGTGAGTAGAAACGACGACAAAGAGCCACTTTCTTGCTCACATCACCATCGTCGCTTTCAGCTGCTTTTTCGGAGGCGGAGGCGAGCATGTCAAGGAGTCTGGGTCGCGCAAGAGCGCCAAGACCCAGACCCAACTCGACGCGCAGACGGTTGGAGGTCTGTGGAGACCAGCGGTTTGGTGCGGCGGTGGTGAGGGCTTCAGCTTTGCCAGCCAGGGCAAACACCATCCCCGCGGTAAGCACAGGCCACAAGCGCAAGTACAAAGAGGAGCTACCATGCGGTGTCGTCGCATCGTCCTTCTCCTCGTCACCGTCATGTTGGTAGAGGAAGTTGGAGATTTGATCTTGTGCTTCGAGGGCCACCTGGGACCATGGAATGTGACAGAGATCGAGCGTTTCGCAAACAGGCGGTTGCCGAGGTGATGGCGTTACATGGTAGCGCTGAATGAGCTCCATCAGGCGGGTAGACGTTGCCTGGGAACGACAAAACCGCCGGAAAAACTCGCGCCTTTCGGACCAATCAGAGGACCGGCCGATTGGTTGGGAGCCAAAATGGCGCAGCCAAGCGTAGAATCTTGCCAAACTTGAGAGGAACCGGTAGAAATCCACGTCAGATTCGCAGGTTTGCCTGAAAGCCTGATAGCCGGCGGATAGCTCAGATGCGACGCCATCTAGACCCGAATAGGACTCGGAGAAGTCAGGTGGGACATTGCCCTTGGAGAATTGATCGACGGCGAAGAGAACGCACGTCGTGTGAGTGAAGGCGCCAGGTTGATTTGCCTGGCCAGAGGTTGCCTCTCGAAGTAACGCATCGAACTCCTCGATAAAGGCGCCCGTAATTCGACTACAAATAAATTACAACAAAGAACCCCCACGATATTTGATTTCCACTGAAGTGAGGTGCTGCGTGGAGCCAAGAACGAAGGTGACCTACCCATCCCAAGAAGGAATACGAGCCTTCAAGCTAGAATTCACCACACAACGCCACCCTGGGATCCAACGCTTGTCCATACAACTTCCTTCTGTGATTCCGTCAATGAAACTCTGAATTTGTCCGTGGCGTTCAGGACTAACAGTGAATCCGCGTTCAGTCGAAAGCCGTCGGAACATGCTCTGAAGGTAGTGACCATTGTTGGAGACACGGCGAAGAACGTACCGCCATTCATCAACGAGGTAGGACTTCGAGGTTAACAGTTCGAGGGCACGGTTCAGCTGAGGAGCAAGTGACGTTGGCGGAGCATTGATGATGGCAAGTAGCTCGTCTTCCACAAAAGCGGTTATCGCCGCGTTGAAAGCCTAGGACATAAAAGGAGTGGCGTTCAACGAAGAAAGCTGGAGTGTTGGAGTAATGGGGTGGGGATTGAAACAAACCTCTGCGACCTTCCAGTCCGCCTGTCGCTTGACGTAGATGTCAAGAAGCGCCTTGGCGAAAGCGCGCTGGTAGGGGTTGTCGTTCCAGCGATTAATCCAGACCACACCCTCTGCCTGACAGGCCTCGGCGTCACTAGCGGACTGCCACTCCGTTCCCTCCGGAAACAAGGACCTGGACGATTGGGCGAGAAGTTGTTGGATGATGCGGCCTGCCGACAACAAGGCACCGACCGGTGGCTTGCGTATGGAGAGGAAAGTCGTGGTATCCCAGTTCGCGGCCGAAAGACGTTTCGTCACGCGGTCCAGAGCCGTCGACTCGAAGGCGAGGAGGGCTAGCACAGCGTTGGACGCGAGTCCAGTGTTCAGCAGTAGGCGTTCCAGATCCTCTTTCGGTATGGTCAACTGAGCAGAAGCAAAATGCGTCAGAGAGGGTACATTTGTCAAAATGGATTAACGTACATCTGCGAGACATACATCCTGTGTGAGAACCAACTCAACTCCACGATTGCGCATGGCCCGGGAGATATTGTTGGAACCGCAGACCGACAGGCCACCGTCGACGTTCTCGTCCACAGTCAAAATGAGACGGAAGTCGGGATGGGGCTTCAGGCGCACCAGATTTCCCGAGGCGTCAAGACCGCGTTCGTTGATTAAGAGATCGCCACCATGTTCCAGTAGGCTGTTCAGTCGATCCAGAGCCGATGGACTGGAAAAGAACGGGGTTTTAGTGCAAAGTGGAGATATTGAGCCAAAGATCCGCGTGTTGTCGCTCACCTGCAAAGCTGGGCGTTTTCCAGTAGCACCCAGTGACCCTCTCTGATCCCGTTTACCAGGGGGCTATCGATCCAGGCGAAAATACCGCCAGATTCGCGTTGCTCAAAGGCGCCAAGCAATTCCACTGTATCGGCAGACGGTGAGAGCGAGAAGGTGGCTATCTTGCGACGCGTCAGAAAGGCAGCCAAGTGGACCAGAGAGCGCTTGCCTGGCGCGACAACAGAAATGGTGAAATTACGTTCAAAGAAAGGCAAATTTCAGCTAGACTATCACATATTTCACCGAGCCAAACGCTTCAGCGTTAAGCGATGGTCAGTACCGCATATTCCACAAACTTGGGAGGTGAAAAATCGGTTCATTTACCTGCTCCACGAGGTCCAACCACAATTGACATCCATCCAAGTTGAAGTATCTTCAGGAGCATTTCAAGGTAGGGTCGGTGTTGGTTCAGGACAAGGAGGGAGGGGTCACCGCAGACGAGGTCGCCGTCAACCCTCCAAGTGGAAAGACCAATCTGGAGTTTGTTGCCTTCCACCGGGAAGGTCTGGCCCTGTGGCACGTAGCATCGACAGAGGTCGGCGTCGTCGACATGGTCTGCTGCCACCTGGTTCCACAACTCGACCACCTGCAGGCGCATTGGAAGGTAGCGATCAGAAGGTAACGGTTGAGGGGGATATTATGACACCCACATAACAAACCAATCGCGTCATAGCGGTGAACTGCTTCAACCTGATTGGCTCACGTTAAACTCATTCAGCATTCTTGGGTGGAGGAGGACAACTAACTCAAATCCATGGTTTTTTTCTTAACTGATGGCAATTATATGATGCATTGAGATATCGAGGCCCAATTTGAACTCAAATATGTAATGCTAATCATCGAGTTTTAGTTCATAGAATGGCCCATAGAGTCCTCGTCTCATCTGCAAAGTCAATTTGCTAAAAAATGCATCCATTTCCGTTAAAATAAGGCGTACTCTAGTCCTGTCTTCAACAGATCGCATTCGAGCCGCGTAAAGCAGGTAAACGTAGAGGCCGGGGTTAGCGCCGAAGGCGTGTTGACCCTGAAGAATGAGATCACCCCAACGACAAAGGTCTCGCAGATTGAACTCCCAAGGACAGCCTGCGGCAGCAAAGGAGCGATCATTCCTCAGGGAGGCTTCCAGCTAAACACACACACAGAGAGACTTGATCAGGTGGTTGAGCATATTTACCCAGTGGACAAACCGACGTCTACGTACGGCGGAGTTAAACTTGACCATGGCTTCGACGTGAGCGGCGGGAAGAGACGTGAAGATGCTACGGAGGACTGCGACTTGGTCTGCAGCTGTCAGGGGCTTGAGGTACACCTACAGACAAGTACACGTCGCTAGAAGGTGCTTCCACTACTTAAACACCAATCAAGTGCGTGGAGGCAGCGCGTACCTGAGTGAATCGATTGAGAAAGGACTTGGGCAGGGCCTTGCGACCGCCTCCCTCGTCGACAGGGTTCTGGCAGGCGAAGAGACGAGTCGCACGAGGCTTCACGTGGAAGGTCTTGCCGAGTTCGGGTATGTAGATAGCGCCACGATGATCTAGACACGCATTCAGGCACTCCAGCACAGACTGGGAGGCCAGATTCATCTGGAAGGCAGACAAAAAACGCAGGTACGAAGATGCTGCCACACCTCCCAGAGTTCCCAAAGGTGACAACGAAACTAACTTCATCTAGAAGGATCCAGTGTCCCTGTCGCAGAGCTTGCAGCAGGGGGCCATCGCGCCAGGCAAAGTTGCCACAACCAGCTCCTTCAACTGGCAGATCACAGCCCAGAAGATCGCATGCTTCCTACAAGAAACAACAATGCAAACTCACGCTCATCGTCTATTGGTCCACATAAAAGACCAATCAGATTGCTCTATCAGCCTGGATGTGTCTGTACGGCCAATCGGAATGAAGTATGGGGAACCAATTAGAAATGAGGCTCACAGTGGACTCGGATAGGTTGATCCGCACAACACTGTGGCCGGAGGCACGCGCTAGCGCCATCACGAGGCTGGTCTTGCCAACACCTGGACTACCCTCAAGGAGAATCGCCCGTTTCGGCAGTTGCAGGGCGCGAAGGAGACGGCAGAGGTTGGAGGCGGGAGTTGGAGCTCTCAAGCTGAAAGGCAACGGCGCCTCCGTGGTGTCCAGGTGATCCGGCGACACCAACGGACCTACAAAAGCACCAAGGACCGAGTTTATCCGACCATTTTGGACAGAGGGAGTATTTTTGGTTTTTTTCAGGCATAGTTGTGCCTGGCGAAGTTTGGCAAATGCTTGGAAAGCGAACAGGGATAACTGAGACGTCATTGACGTCTTCCAAGTAGATTGCATTGACATTTTCATGATTTCCGATCGATACAGGACTCAAAAAGTAGCAACTGATTGATACCACAGACGAAAACGCAAATCGATGGAGAATGAATTACTTAAAGGTGAAACAAGTGCCCGAAATCAGCCATTACGTAACGACAATGCACTCCTGATAGTAATTTTGGTGTCATTTTTTCCGAATTTCAGGAAACTTTAACCACCACAAACCCGTGTCGTTGATGATAATTGACTAAATCGATAAAAAAAGCGAAGAAACCTCTGCCCAATCAAGTAGGCACGCGAAGACATTTGATTGGTGTTTAGGGAAAGCTCGTTTCTCACCCGTTTCGATGAAAAATGGATGGCAACCATAGAGTCGATTGGAGTCCTTTAGGACCGGCTCAAAGCGACCGGGTTGGAGGTTGAGGCTGGAGGTGTACTCGCACGCCGCTTGCGAAAGATCCGCTAGAAGACGCGAATCCGTGAAAGCCGAGGCCTCGTCGTGGAAGTGTACCAGCAGACTGCTCAGCAGGTAGTTGATGCCACCAATTGGGCTGAATTTGAACAAGTCTACAACAGGAGAATGCGACGTGCTTGAATGCCTCGGAGGCGTGATTAACCACACGCGAGCAACTCACCACTGTCATTCACGTGTTGGATGACATCGTCACGACTGAACAGAAGCTCACTGCATTGGATCCCGTCGGTAGTTTCCAGGGAGTCCAAGAAGATGAAGGCAGCACCGTGGAGGCAGGCTGTGAAGACGTTGATGAGGTTGACTCCATGCCGCGAGAGGAGGTTGTGGATGAACTCTACCCAGGCTAGCAGGTCGCGTATCGTCGGCATCGGTCTAGAATAGGCGACGTGATGGAGGAAATGCTAGCCACGTACCTTCTACAAGCGCACCTTCCACCAATCGCCTCATTTCGTCCGCGGGCGAACCACCAACAGAAATCAACCATGGCGGCAGACAGCGGCTTCAGCAGATGCGGTTCCGTGAAGTCGCCGGTTAGCTGTAGGTTGTGCAAGACAATCGCCCGCCAGTCGTCCAGCTCGTTGGCATCACGGAACAACGGCGAGGGACACCAGATCTCCGTGAATCGATTTCTCAGGGCTGGAGAGAGCTCCTTTTTGGCGTAGTCGCCGCCAGGATTCATGGTTGCCAGGAGACGGAAATCAGGCACCGCGGTGATGGTGGCATCTGAGGGGTCGCCAAGGACGGCGTCATCACCGCATCGCTCCGCAAGACACAGACGTTGCTCCGGTTCAAGAATGCTATTCAGACGCTCTAGGACAGCGTCGTCTGCGAGGGAGACCTCGTCCAGCAGGAAACAATCGCCGTTCAACATCGCGCACACCAACGGACCGTCGACCCATTCGAAAAGACGATCGGGCAGGGCGTCGGACGTGCCTTCTGGAAGTCGAACTGGTCTGAGGCCGCCGAGGAAGTCCGACGCTTCGGTGTACTGGTGACAGTTCACGCAATGCAACTTCTGGCGGCGCGAAGCAGCGAATATCTGGCATACGGTCGTCTTCCCGCATCTGTGGTGAAAAAAAAACAGTCTAAAAAGACTCCACTTAATTATTGTCAGTAGCACACACTGCCGATATAAAACCATGCTACTTATTTATTATCAGTAGGTGTACATGCTAGTGATTTTTAGTATTGAGATTCCTGCTTTCCTATTGGTCAAGCACGCACCCGGTTTCACCAACAAGGAGAATGGGTTCGTTGTACTTCAGCGCGTTGCCGACAAGAACAAGGAGGCGTCGCATATCGCGGGTCCACACAACGTGACCGAAACCCTGCGGTGATGGAGCGTCGACAAGTGAGAGGAATTCCGCTGAAGCGAGCGATGTCTCTCCATGAAGGTCGAAGAGACTGCAGTGTGGGGCAAAAAAACGACTTTAAACATGTCCTGAAATGGGGCCTCAATTTAGCTAGTTAAGACTCACGTTTGCTCAGACACCTTCCTTTTAAAGACGTTTTCGATGACTTGTGCCACGGCTTTGGCTTCATCAGGATGCCTTGCACGTCCCGCCAGTAGAAGATACCCCTGTTCTGCCAAGTAGGTGTCCCAGTCGAACAGCTGATTCTCCGTCTGGTTGCAAGTGGCAAGACGATACCGCTCACCCCAACGGAACAGATCTCGCAAGGTAATAAATCCATCCTTGCCTTGGAAGATGTCAGAGGAACGCCGAAGAAGCTGAAATATTAAAGCTACTTATATGTTGCAAGTAGCGGTGGTAATTCGACAGTCGAGAGCAGCACAAACCTGGAGCTGGTGCATAACCTCCACGAGCTTCTTCGCGCGACTCTTCGGCAAGGCTGAACGATGCTCAAGGATGACCTCCAGCTCATCGCGAGGAAGGGGATCAAAGTGGAGCTCGACGAACCTGTTGCGCAGGGCACGTGAAAGCACCTTTCTGCCGGCGTACAAACCCGGTGGATTCTGGGTAGCAAACACTCGGAAGTGCGGATGGGCCTTCACCATTTCTTGCGTTTCTGTGATAAAGAGCTCACGATTTTCATCCAAAACCTGAGGCGTATGAAGAAAAAAGAACATATTGGTTTTGGTGTGCTGATTGGTTGAAAGTAATTAGCCAATCGCATCACGAGTAAGTCCACACTGTTTGAACCAATCAAGAGGAGACTTACCCGGTTCAGAGCCTCAAGAATCTCCGTTGGAGCGAGATTCAACTCGTCCAAGATGATCCAGTGGCCCTTCTTCATGGCCTGCACGAAAATGCCCTCCTGGAAGACGAGAGACGGCGCCGACGTCGTGTTCTCAGCGGCGGTGCGAGAAGCCGACGCGGCGGTGTACGCGCCCAGGTACGTCTGCAGGTCGGTGTGTTCGTGGTTGTTGATGCGGTAACACACCTGACCAACACGACCCGCCAGGTAGGTGATCAACGATGTCTTCCCGACAGACGTCTCGCCTTGCAGCAGAACCGGCAGGCTACCGCTAAAAAGCCAATAATCGATAACCGATGCATGGTGCAGTGCGTCTGCCTCGTGTCTTTGCAACAAACAATCTCATCCATTTGACTTACGCTGCAGAAACGACGCGCGCCAGGTCCTTAAGGTTAGCGCGGACCGATTCGGTGAGGACGTAGTTGGCGTCGGTGAGAGAGCGATCGTTCACCTCACGTGTGTCCAACGGACCCTGCGGCACCCAGTAACCCTCCACGCACACATACCGATCCACCTTCGACGTGGGTGAAGGAAGCGGCTTGGAAAACAGCTGTCGGCACAGCACCTCCTTTTGCCTGGGTTCTGTGGAGTGGCTAGGCACGGTCGCGACTAGATGTGACTGCAGAATCCGATCGAGAACTGGTCTGCTGCCACGACCAACCTGCGAGCCGAAACTGAACAGGAAGCCCTATAAACGGCAGACAAGAAGGCATTACACGCACGGAGGCTGCTTGTGTGGACTTCGACGCCGTCTTCAGACTGCTTACCTCATACAACGATCGCAGAAGGCTGCCGTGGTAACCTCTGGATGCCTCGGTGAGGGCACGACACAACGTTCGCAGACTGGACAAGACAAAGGCAGAAATAATTACGTCGAGGTGACAGGAGACGACGGTGAGGTGTTAGAAGTAGGTGCCAAACTGACCTGAAGTGTGGACGCTGACCCACGCCATCTAGAAGACCGTCAGCAGCGGATCTCTTGATGGCAGAGTACAGCTGGACGACGGCAGAGACTTGGGCGGCCGTCGGAGACAGTGCTACGAGGTAGGTGCGTACCAGAAGACCCAGGTCTTCACGATCAGCAGACGAGGTGGCTGGATCGAGTTCCTCTACGTGGATTTCTGTGAAACGGTCACGCAGACCCATCGGAAGATCACGTTTGCCCACGTCTGTTGACGGGTTCATTGCCGCGAAAAGGTGGAACCTCGGATGACGCTTCACTGGCTCGAGATCACTTGAAACACGGAGAGTAAGGGTCAAGGATAATTAACTATACCAATCCACCAATGGCAGTCATCATTTCTCTTCCGACCAATGAGAATCAAGGGCGTGATTTTGCACGTGTACAAACTTACCCCCTATCAACGAGAGTAAGACTGCCGTGTGCAGAGTCGAGGAGACCCGCGAGGCAATCCAAGAGCTCGGCGGGAGCAAGATTGATCTCATCAAGCAGTACCCAATCACCTTCCTCCACGGCACGGACAAGGGCGCCTTCAATGAAGGCGAAGGACAGAGACGATGCGGAATGCGTCGACGCCGCTACTCTCTTTTCCAGCATTTCCAACTCCCTAAGCATGGCCTGCCACTCGCTGAGCGAGGGTTTTTGGACGCCGTCGTGTGATTGGCTGGAGTCGGTGGGGTTGGTGGAGAGTTTTCTGATAGCCGCAGTGGCTGGGTGCTTCATCAGGGTTAGGAGATCACGCCAACTACCATTAACAGCACAGGTCTAAATGAAAACGTCAGATGCGGTTATATCAACGCAACACACACACACACACACAAGAAGTGGCTTGCAAAGCGCACAAGCCCACCTGAATATGTCCAAGAAACTGTCGATTGGACTCCAGTCGGAAGGTTCGCGAGAAGAGGCCCTCAAATTTCTCCTTGACGGGGTTAATCAGAGCGCGCGAATCGACTGGTTTGAAGCCTCCAAGTAGGTCAACGCTATCGGACTGCTGATTCAGGTTCAGCACACGAAGCCGCCGGCCTGCCATCGCTGCGAGGCGCTGAATCGACGAGGTCTTGCCTGTTCCCGTCTCGCCAACCAGTAGAACTGGCTCTTGGTTCGTCACTGCGACGGCCAAACGCTCGACAAGACTGCAAGCCAATCTGGTGTTTGCGAATGTCTGACCGCCGTTTGTCAAACTAAAATTGCGTTGAATGTCAATGCTTTAATTGTGACGCCATCGGTCAAAACGAAAACCTTTCCAGCAGGACCAACGTAAAAAGTGTTAAGATGACTAGCGTTAAGAAGAAATGTCTATTTAGTCGGAGTGAAATAGCATACTTGGATAATTGGAGCTCCCAGTGAACCGACTTGGTGATTGGTAGAGTTGCCCGCCCGGCTTCAACTTGATTCAAGTGCCTGCTGAGTTGTAACTCGGGTCGCCGATCACGCCAAATTTCAAGAGCCTAAGTTACAGGAGAAAAATCATTTTAGCCAACGGTATTAACCAGATTTAAAAGACTCTCAAAGGCTACAAAATGGTGACAAGGAAGCAAAAAAAAGTAAATGCTTTGGGAACGTTTTTGGGCCTATGAAGGTTGAACACACCTGTTCTTTTGTAAAATTGAAAATTCCACCAAGCTGGACAACCAGGTCATCTCTGGCAGCGCCGGCGCGTTGAGAACAGACAAAGCAGTCGAGTGCATCCAAGTAAAGGTGTCTGGCTGAATCTGCTTTGTCCAAGTAGCCAACAGCGCGAGAACAAAACTTGAAAAAGTCCCGTGAACACACCGGACGCTGATCGTGCACGCTGGGCGAGGCAATACGTTTTAGTAAAGAAAACTCCAACAACAGACGTTTTGCTAGCGGCAGCAAAGGCAGGAAACGTCTTTGAACGATCTAGAAGAAGTGAGACGTTGTCAGCGCGAGTAAATTAACATTTGACGAATGCAAAAATCATACCTTTTTAATTATTTCTGTTGGCATTCCGTTCATGTAAATAACGGAGCAATTAGTGGAATAAACTTCACATTCAGCTCCCTGATCCACAAATCCGAGACCCGACGGCAATGTACGGCGAGTGAGGAGCAATCGAAAGTCAGGGTGACGATAAATAGGTTCACCACTTATTGGGTGAAGCACTTGCGAGGCACTATCTTTCATCTGACGAAGGACAGGGCTTAGAAGAATAGACAAATCCGCAGACCCTTTGTCCACGTCTTCCAAAATAAGCCATTTGCCAGAGGTCATGCAGTGTGTTAGCGGACCAGGTCGCCAGACGAACACACCGGGCGTGTTTGAACAGCAATACGCACCAAGAAGAGCTTTCGTGTCTGTCTGTTCACTAATCTGGACGCGAAATGGCTTAGCTGACCGCCTCTTCGCCAGATAGTCGATGGTTGCCGTTTTACCGCAGCCGACAGGACCACAAACAAGTGGTATCTCACTTCTCTCAATGCACAGGTCAATTGAGGTTACTGTGTCCAAGAACCAAGGTAATGGGATAAACTCAAGGTCAGCCTGGAGCTTATCGTTTTTCGGAACGGATGATGTATCACTGTTGGACCTCGAAGAAGGATGCTCTGCCACTACATTCACAGAATCAGCAGAAGGGGAATTGTCTTCTACACACTTCTTGGATTTACTTGACCCAGACTTCCTCCGCTTAGATTTAACTGGCGTTTCTGTAGCAGGCTTACGTTTTTTCCTGAAATTAAGATAATGAAGGTTACGAATAAGTTACCCTGCCATGAAGGCTTGCAATGTGACAAAAAAACACGTTCCCTATCTGTATTGCGCGCCAAACCCCGCGTAAATTAAACTAGCACATCAACTCAAAAATTGCTTCAAATACAGGTTTTAATTGTGTTATTTTCGTCATCCTATTGTATAAAGAAAGCTTAATTTGAGCCTAATTATAATTTTTGTTAATTGCTGTTTGTCGCCGCTATTAAAACCTGGGTTTATAATTATTTCCCCTTTTCAACTTAGCAGAAACCGTATGCAAAATGATATTGCTAACTAGACAAAAATGCAATCATTTCATTGTTAATATGCGGCTTTGATTTGTAGTTATTTTTATTTAGGGTTTGAAATAATTAACTTGCAAATAAAGTATGACGAACGCAACATATGTTCCTAAATACAAAAATAAAAGCGCTAAAAAGTGCTTCTTGTTCTCTTTTTTTTAGATTCTGAGATAGTGAGAATACAGAAATATTTTTAGCTAGATGTCATTTGTTTTCTTAGAGGAAAAGCACTTTGAGGTAATGCCGAAGCTTCAGGAATTCTTTTTAAATTATGCAACAAGGTGCCTTCCAATCTACTTCCGTTAACGCCCGCTGGCGTGCCTATCTTACGCCCTCCTGTATACTTCTACTGTCCCTTATGTCTGTGTGGATCAACCCTAATCCTAACTTACGGTCAACTCTGCCTGCATTTCTTTACAATCTTTTCTTTAAAATCTAACACCTCTGCCTATATGGACTTAGTTAAAAAATATATCAGCTTGTTACTGCCAGTATTTTGTCGCACGCCTGGTCGTCAAAGCTGTTGGTGTCGCTACCTCTAAGGAACAGACTAATAAAAACCTGATCTTGCATGCTCTAGTTTGGTAGGCACCGCACATGAGTACTAAAGTTTGCCAGAATTAATAATTAATTTAAAATTGTGCTTATTGACAAAGCATTTAATATGCTGATTAACTAGGAATCAAATTCCCTTAGTAGGCATATTTTTGAGTTGTGTGTATAGAGGATTCTGCTACATGACGAGCTTGGCCTGATCCATTATACCTGCTGCTCTACGCTGCTTTCCGTTTTGGAAGAAAAGTTATTTTTTTATACTCAAACTCTAAACTATAATGATTCAAGTTTCAGGTCAACATCTCCACAAGTCCATATTAGGCTAGGTAAAAGTGCTTTGATGATATACAAAAAGGTCAAGTCATCCATTACAGGTGCCATCTCCACTTGTAGTCTAACTGAGCCATGCAGTCTCTGTCGTCTTTGCTAACTTGCTGATACCTCTTCAGAAACAGTGATCCTAATCTCGTTCAGAGTCTGTGGACCAAATGGCTTGGATCATCGGATAGACTGCCGTGCCAACTGCAGCCGGCATTAATAGGTATTCGCCCCTGTTACCCATGGTAGAAAAAGGAAAGGGCTAAAGTTCGATTCGCGTTATCCTAACGCATTTTCTGCCACCAATGTAGAATACCCTAGACCTACTATGTGCATGACTGGTTCGATGGAGCAGGTTGCATTAACGAACCACAAGCTAGAACCGTCCATCAAGCTCCGTCCATTCGAGTGAGGTGTAGCGGCGTGACAGATAGCAGCCATATTGGTGTTAATCCATTGGTCGAAGGTGAGAAGCACGCCATGTTGGCAACGTCATGTAACCGGGGGTGCGACTTCCGGCCGTGTGGCGTCACGTGGACATTGAATGACGCTCCGGAGACTGAGAGCCAATCCGCTCACGAGTTTTCCGTCTCCATTGCAGCGCCCCGGAACGGACCAACAGGAGAGCAGGACGACGAGGACAAGGATGTATAAAGACCCTGTATTCCTTCTTACGCCCGACCTGTTTATGACTAGATTGTGGCTGTTTTAGCCTCCATTAAAGTACTCCCTTTTGCCTTACTCTCTCTTCTTTACCATACCATGGGTCGGAAATGTACAGTGGCGACGTCTGAGGGCGCAGACATACTTGATCATGCTGGCCTCAGCCAATCCCCTGTCTCTCTGCGATCCAATGGCATGTGAAGTAGATAGGCAGCCAACCAGAGACGGACACGAGTGAGGAGAAGTATATAATGAGTGGCCCAGCCAGCGGGGCGGACTCGGATGGACGGTGCCTGACGCGAGGTTCTGGTTTGTGATTTGTCAATCAAGCCTGTTCTGTTGTACCAGTTTTCTTCTTATTAGGGCTCGGGTTTTCTACACGAGTTCTCCGTGCTAGTTGGTCCTCTCATGCGTTCTCGTCTCTGGTTGGCTGCTGTTTGATCCTTTACATGGTGTATTTCAATTACGAGTGAGCTAGACTTTGGGGGTTTAGTTACCCTAATTCAATGCGTGAGAAGTTACGCGGAAACCCCATTATCAAATATAAAATAATTTAATCCGTTCTGCCAAGGTAGAACATTTCAGACTTTTTAAGCACATGCCATGCAGGTGTGGCGACAGCCAATGCTTCTTCATCTTAACAGGAAAATCAAAGGCCAAATCCCTATCCAGCCGGTTCCACCACCACCTCGCTCAGCAAACGACCTACCTCCGAGAACAGCCCATGACAAGAAAAAATGTACTAAACCTTTTTATTAGCAACTATCCAGTTTGTATGCAGCCAAACATGGCTTCAGACAGTACCATTATCTCATAATTAGTAGCCCTCGCACGGCAGACCTCCAGTCAAGCCCAACTCTGAAATGGCAACCAGTGCCTCTGGAGGAGAAATTCAACTCCAGTTAGAACTGCAGAACAGTGACTTTTTCAGCGGCATAACCTTCGCTGGCTTATATCGTGTAGGCGACATCAAGACACACCACATAGGTCTAGATCGGTTCGAGCGATTGGATTTCGTCGATATCAAGGTCAGCTTTGTTTGTCATGACCTGTAGTCCTCACATGTTCGCTGCAGAATACCCGAGCCCTAATAGGTAAAAGACCGGCACAACAGAATAGGCTTCATCGACCAATCACAAGCCAGAGCCAAAAGTCAGGCGCCTTTTCATCCCAGTCCACCACGCTGGCAATGTCACTCATTATATATTGCACCTCGTTCGTGTCCTTCTCTGGTTGGCTGCCTCTCTTCCTCGCATGCCATTGGACTCGGATGGAAAGCGCCTGACGCGTGGCTCTGGCTTGTGATTGGTCAATAATGTCTGTACTGTTGTACCGGTATTTTTTCTATTAGGGCTCGGGTATTCTACATTGGTGGCAGCGGATGCGTTCGAATAACGCAAATCGAACCCCAGCCCTTTCTCACCTATGGTCAACAGAGGCGAAGACTTTTGAATGCCAGCTGAAATTGCCATGGCGTTCATCCCATGTCCAATAAACTGGATCCATAGACATTGCCCGGGATTAGGACTACTGCATCTGAAGAGGCATTGGCAACGCAGCGACGACGACTTGGACAGTGAAAGCCAGCTGGACTGCATCTGCGAAGGACCTTCAATGGATGAGTCTTTCCTGCAAGTCTACGAGAGCAAAGTCCCTCGTCAGCTATTCGCA